TCGATCCAATGGCTGAGCGCGCCGGGGGCCAGGCGCCGGCCCGAGACACCGGGATACCCACGCCCACGCCGGCTATAAACAGCCAGCCCTGCCAAGGGCTAACGCGCCTCGTCCACATTCAATGGCAGGGCTACAGCGCAGGCCTGGGCGGCCCACGGCCCAAGGGAACCCCGGGGGACTTGGGGCAAGGAGGGAAGGCACCTCTAACCCGGAGAAGCAAAATCACATGCTCGGGGGAGCCCTAATCCCCTCTTCCCATCGCCCCCCATCCCTGGGAAACAGAAAGAGGCCCCGCCGTTCTCCGTCTACTGCCGAGGCCAGCCGAGCGGGTGGAAATGAGATGCACATTTACCCTTGACGCAGCGCACGCATGGCTGCGACTCCCAGGTTAATTGATACTTAATGGAAATCATGCCCATGAATATACTTTCCATCATTTCACCCTTGGTGAACGTCATTAGCGGGCCAAAAAAAGGAGGGGGTAGTGGAGAAAAGAAAAATGCGGGGGTGAGCATTAGCATCGCTCGGGGCCGGAATGAGAGCTAGGCAGGGAAGGTTCCCAGGAGCAAGGGGAGGAAGGAAAGGCTAGCGCGCCAATGCATTGGCGTTGCTCCCTGTGCAGCACACACTGCTCGCTTTGAATTCGCCTCAGCTGAATGCCAAGGGAGAGTCAAAGCTTTCAAGGCCAGAAGGAACCTCTGTGGTCATCTAGGGTGACCTCGCGTAGAGCCTAGGCCCGAGAGCTCCCCCAAATCGCTCAGAGAGACTGGTCAATGTTTGTTCCAACGTTTTGTGCCCAAAGCTCGTGGTTATTAATCTGCTCTCTGGGCAAAGAAACACGGGGCGCAGGTTTCAGGTCCCTGACTACGAATTCAGTGATTCGGCCTTTAAATTCAATTCAAACAGGCTTGAGATTGAGATCCAGTTGCCGGAGGAGTCAGTGCCTTTGGTTACAAGCGATGCAGACTCGATCCTCGAATTTCCCGTGGTTTTGGCACATGATTCTCATCAAACAGAAGTGCGTCAATAGCATTAACTTGAATCTGAGCTCAGTATCCTGGTTTAAATAGACAATAAGATGTAGGTGAAATATATAGATCCAGAGCCACGTGTGACCGCCTAATGCGAATCGGAAAAAATATTTGTGGTTACATGAAAGAGACTCCCATATCCCTTCGCATCTCTCTGTGTGTCTCTCACACATACTTCCCTCTTATGTTATTACAGTCAATAAACTTTTTGTTTGTTTGTTTAGGTAACCAACTCAGATTTCCCTTGGCGTCACATTCATGCGGTAACTTCCACAAAATGAACTTGTCTTAGACTTAAACACCGGCACAGAAACACGTGTCATGGAAAGAATACCCAGTTTAACATAAAACACGTTAGGACATCTTTCAGCGGAAAGGAAGAAATACGTGTCATAAAAACATTAAATGTTATTCCGGAGAATGTATTTTCCAGCTCAGTTGTTTTAAAGGATATGCATGCAAATTACTGTTGATGTTCTGACTTCACATCTGTGATTGCTACTTACCTCTCACAAGTATCCTGTGTTCAGTTGAGTATGTGTGCTCTAAAAACGTACTGAATTGCCTATTCTATTAGCGTAGGCCTTGATCTGGCAAATCCCAAGTCAGTGGAGCCGCCCTTACTCAGGACAACGCAACCCTGTTTGTATGAAAAAAGCTGCCCACCTGATTTGCAGGGTAAACCTCAAAAGCTAGAAGGGCTACAACATTTAGGGTTTACCTCAGAGCAACTGGGGAACCCCTACATATTTTCCTACTCAAAACTTTTGTGAGATGGAAATGTCTACCCATGGGGACAAACCTTATTTTGCTTCTTATGCTAATTGGGTGCAGAAATATATCTAGAGATTGCCTGTGAAATATCGCATTTTATAGTATTTCATAACAATGTATCCGTCTCTTAGGTCCCTAACTATTCTTTAAAATAAATGTGTTTTATGCACTCTGAAATTTGTAGTTTTTCCTTTAATCCAAAAATATAATTATGCTCAGATGATCATTCAGAGAAAAATTAGATCGATGTTTTATCTTAATGAAACAGATACCAGTTCTGACCTTAGTAAAACTCGTCTTGTTTGTAAAACACAAGAACAAGATCACCATTTTGGGGGGAAAGTGTATTTCAAACTTAGCTTCTTACCTTCTTTTACTCTTGTTCTTCATAAAGTTTATGTTCATACTCTAGAAGTCTGTAAATGTATAGAAAGAATGCACAAGACGTTTGCTTAATATTCATAACGAGCTTCAAGTACTTTATGGTCTCAGTAACAAAACCTAGAAAATACAGAGAGCATTTTTCCACAATAGGCCCAATAAGCCAGCGTTACTGATAGTTTTTTTTTTCAAGGCACAATTTATAAGTAAAGGATTTTATCATTGTGTTTATTGTCATAATTTAAATATAATACAATGAGCTTAAACCGCTTGGAAATATAACTGTTTACTTATGTATGGTCTCATAGAATTAAATATGATGCCAGACTGCGGTGTAATCTGCAAAAATCTGTCACCTCAAAAGTGCTGATTGCGCAAGGTTTTTCAAAGCTATCCATTTAGACGATAGTAAAGAACTGTTACATGTGTTTAATTTTGGTTAAAAATATAAAATCCACGATTAAAAGTAGAATTTTCTGTATTTCAATAAAATATATTCTGCGCGAAAGCCAGAAACATCGTCAGCCCAGGAATCATAAAATGGAGCAACATCGCTCTCTAGTGGTCAACTGAAATCTTGATCAGCAATCAAAGCGCTTTATCTTCTATTTATTTACTTATTCTACCTTGATTTAGAAGTAGTTTACTTGTTTAAAATCTGGCCCCCATGAATTATACAAATATTAGCTCTTATCTTTTACCTTCATCATCTAAAGTTATGTAAACAGGACATACAAACCCGAAGGAATGTAGAAAGCCACGCTCTTTACACTGGGAAGTATCTATAGCCACAGTCACAAAAAGCTTTTCATTCGTAGTTTACAATACCATATATTTTAACACATTTCTACAACTCCTTCAGTTTTTAACTCTGCTATAATTAAATTATGAATGTCTTCTTTACACAAGGCAGCTAGCAAAGTAGTCTAAGGGCTTAAATATTGAAAACCGTCGCTATCTTATTTTTGGTCCTGTTACTTCACATACAATGTATCACTAGTACTAGATGTTTGGTATTTTCAGGTTCAGTATTTTTTTTTTTGCCTTGAACTTGCTTTTGATTTAATTATTTTTGTAATTGTAAACTTAAGTAAAGACTGTTCTTTTCACCCTACAGCCAATTGTTTATCCCAAACAGTCTACTGAACTGATTGGTATAATAAATACTTCTTCTATTTCGTTCTTACAAGCAGTCAACGAATAGGAATTAAAACGCCATGTCGCTGGACACAGAGAGTACTTTGTTTTAAATGGAAGTTGCAGGCTACCCAGTGGCTCAAAAAGCCTTCATTTTCCTCATACCATTTGGAATTAAATATACTTCCATACGAGGAAAAAAGGACAACTTCAGTGCTGCCACTTGGAGTGGAAAATATTAAAAACAAGTTCAATCTATCCAGCGTTAGTTTGATTGCAATTTCTTCCCAGCGCATGCAAGGAAATAAATGCAATAAAGTGTTCCGATAGCAGTAGTACAGTTTACATTTTAGTTATGGATCAGCCTGTAAAAACGGCTGCTTTCAAAAATATACACGTATTCACAACAGTGTTTATCGCCACATAACAGTTCTACAAATATAATTTAAGAATAAATTAATTGTTCAATGTTCACTTTTCGACCTGAGTGTCTTTTCTTGCCCGTGTTGTCTTGGCCCAGCGGTGACACACAGCAATTTATAGTCCAGATTTTAAGACCGAGTTTTGTCTGCATTTTTGTTTTCTTCTAACAATCGCAAACATCAAAATAAGATAGTTTCAAAGAAAAGCGCCATAGCATATCGTAAACTCATTAGGTCCAGACGTCTAGCCATCTCAATGGTTTTATTATACCTCGGTTCTTCCTGCTTTAAAAGAATTATAGGTATAGGGTTGACAATGAATGGGGAAGCAATGCAACACCTTTTCATCGCACTATATGCCTTTCCACTTTTTTTCCAGAGGTAAAAACATTAAGCACCAGGTCTCTGCGACTCTCTCCTTAATCTTAAACAACTGCTCATAAATATTTACAGATCCTTCATTTTAATGGTTGCTCTTTAAACAAAGCAAGGCTCTTTTACAATGAACTTCATCTTAATTATCTTGATAAAGTCATGTGTGTTTATAAATGCGAAAGGCATGAGACGTGTTGCTACATACTCCTCCCCTCCCCCAACTGGTAACTTGGAAGTGGCATTAGTCCATTCTGAATCTATTGGCGTTCAGATTAAACAGCACAGAGATTCAAATGGAAAACAAATTAAGTAGGTATCATCTTAAATATTTGGCTTCAGAGACCTATTTCGGAAAATGTCCTCGATTACTCCACAAGACATCACCTGTGAAACGTCACTGGTTTATGAAAGACAGTTTGTGCAGAACGTGTCTCAAGAACAAATTAGGCAGGCATATCTACAATATATACTTTAAACCAACCCGCTTGTGATTAACTTTTAGAAAGAGATGGTTGCCGACTACAGTCGAAACATTGTGAATAGTTTTGCTTGTCTCGGCAACTAGAAATGTACCACTGAATTAGTGCCTGTGCTGAAGTAGTCTTCAGGAGGAGCGACCGTGTGCACCCATCTCCGGTTCAAAATTCCTGTGTACAAAATAACCGAAAGTCAAGAGTCTCTGTTGCCTTATTAAAGGCTCGCGCTAATAATAAATGAACCAGCATTATACATACAAATGCTTAGTGGGGTGTGCATCTACCAGACACTGAGAAAATTGTATATTTGTTGTTTTCATATGATCGCGGCTAATTACGCAGTGCCAAAAGAAGAGGAACGCAGGCATTGCCCATATAACTGCGGGGATTTCATTTGATCAAGTCAAAGTTTATTATGGAACAACTGACGATAATTACAACAGGTCTTTAGTTAGAAGCATGTGGCGGCGGATACAACATTTACCAATATTCCTTCCAACAATCCAAGGCATCAGTCAATGTTAGGCCTATTGAAAACGGCTTCAAGTTTGACACAGTCTCCTAATAGTGCACTAAAGAAGAAGAGGAAGAAAAAAATGAAATGCTTTTACTGCCTCGCGTCGGCACCTTTTGCCAAGGAAAAAATTCAGGACTAAAAAAGCAGAGGGTTTGATAATGGTTTCTTTTAATAAGTCATGGACAACACAATACTACTATTGATTTAAACAAGTGTACTTCAATATATATATTTATTATCATAATTATAATTACGTCCTTTGCCTTTATTTTGGCAAAGCGACTATCTACACTACATCACCCTTTAAGAAACAGGTCAGACATTTAACATTGAAGTTGCCAAAGCGAACGTGCACTCACAATATCATAAACCAGTTTCGGAAAAGGAAAGAAGAAATGAAGCAACTTTTATAAACACATTGGCGAGCAAGACAGATCCCCCTCCCCAAAAAAACAACCCTGACAAAGACCATATTTGCACTTCTACCTAAAAGACCAGCCTGATTTAAAGTTCTGCAAAAACGCCTCTGGAGCTGGGAGAGGAGGGGCAGAAGAAGTGGAAGAAGAATGCGTGTCTACACCATGGACTTAGTCTCCTTTATTTCCTTTCTCCTTGTTCATCTTTTTCATTTTCATTCTTCTGTTCTGAAACCAGATTTTGACCTGTCTCTCTGTGAGGTTTAAAATCCTAGCTACTTCGTAACGGCGGTCCCGAGTCAGATACATGTTAAAGAGGAATTCCTTTTCCAGTTCCAGCGTTTGGTACTTTGTATAGGGACAACGCTTTTTCCTCGTTGAACGAGCGTGGATCCAGTTTGCCGCAGGATTATCTGGAAAAAGGGAGGCACACAGGGAGGAGGAGGGGAGGGTGAGGGGAGAAAGGTCGTTAAATTAAATTTAACGAAGGATGGATTCTTTTCACAACTTTGGAGGAATTATCATAAAAGCCTTAATACCCCAGTCTGTTTACTGTACAAATCATGTCTTGATGGTAGGTGGTTCTGTGGAGTCTTTTATGGGTGCTTGTTGCTGCTTGCGCTAGAGTAGGCGTCTAGACGTTTTTATAGGTTAGTAAAACTATCAGTTTTGCACATTGGAGCCTTACAGGGTTCGGCAGTAAATCAAAGGGGGCAATTTCTTTTTTACTTACTTGGGTCAAGTTGCTGCTGCTTCTCTTCCTTCAGATCGCTGCTCGGGCTGGGCTGGTGGCTGCAGGCGGGAGGCTCCTTGGCGCTGCAAGGAGCCGTCTTCTCCCGGGTCTCCTGCAGGAAGGAATTGCACGTGTACTCGGGCGCGCTGATCCCCTGAGACCCCCGGGACGAGGAGCACTCGGCCCTTTTGGAGGTGGAGGAGGAGGAGGAAGAGGAGGAGGAGGAAGACGAGGCAGCTGCTGCTCCCGTTTCAGGCTTTATCCCGTAGTGGCGCCCGTTGGAGGAGCTGCTGCTGCTGCGAGCGCACGTAGCGGCCCGTCTCGCCTGCCCCTAAGGGGGGCTGGTGCATGTAGGGATGGTAGAGCCCTGTCATTGCCGCTGGCGGCTGAGGATGGACCGTGGACCACGAAGTGGAGAACACGGTGGATTTGGGTGCAAAGCTACAGGAAGAAAAATCTGAACTCTCGGCAACACCTGATGGCCTGGAGGGCGCACTGTGACCTGCCTGGACGAATCTACTCCCGTAAACTTCTTCGCTTTCATGGCCTATGAGAGAATCGACATAATAGTTACTTATGGTGCCACTAGACGACATTTTTAGGCTCCCCGCTTAGTCATATAAAAGGTTACACTGTTAACTGTATATGATACCCTCCCTGAGAACAATCGTAGTATTTTGCAGACTGCAACCCTCAACCATTGGTTGCGGAGCCCACGTGATCATATTTACCAATACTAGGAGTAAATCAATCCGCTAAACTGGGGCTGCTGTGATTAAAACACACGCACACACACACACACAATCGTCAACAACAACAACAGGCAACGCCACCCAAACTGTAACTGTCCGGCCCGGCAGGGGCCCCGGGGGACAGAGCTGCGCCTCCTCTGTCCCAGCAAGATTCCAGGCGGGCGTGGCTCAAGGCAGCCGCTCGAGAAGGAGGCAGCCGGGAACTATTTCTTTCCCCTCCTTTGAGTGATTTCTGCCATTCATTTCTTAATCAGCGAGGCGCAGGGTGTTTAAATAAACCCAGCAGCCAGGCCTGCCGAGTTACACTGAAATCCGCCGAGAGAACCCGCTGGGGAAGGGGAGATTCTTGCTTGTAAAATCAAACCACATCCCAGCGCTCCGAGTATACGACTGCTCATAAAACAGGAAAATGTTACAGTAAAAGCACATTGTGGTGACTTCCATATTTCAGAGCATGTAGTTGTCTCCCTCCCCCTTGTAAAGAAAGTTTCTATTGAAGGGACTTAAAAGAGAGAGCGAGAGCGAGAGAGATGCCCATTGTGTTGTTTTAAAACAGGTGGAAGACCTCTGTAATGATTTTATGCCTTTCCATAAAAATTTTATGAGGTGGATTTGATTATAGATTAATGTGTCCCTAATAAAACGGACGGATGGAACAGCAAAGCCCGTGTCTCCCTGCACCACTGACGTGTCCCCGAACACATGCTCTTGGATGTGTTAAACTTCGGGTGCTACGCGGCTCCAACATGGCAAACGCTCTTCTACAATTAATTGTAGTCTCTCCACAATTTGGGGAAGGAGCTACCGGCAAATGTTCTCCAACGGAATCTCTTATACGTGCATTACAAATATAAATAAACCCACATTTGGAAACCGTTCTGTGTGAGCAGGCGAGACGTTGCACTGCTGATAGACAATGTTTTCTTATTTAGAGTCTAATGGTCAGCAGCGTCTAATACATTCCTACCAAGCACATGCAACACACATCTTGCTATTATCACCCCACCACCACCAGCACCATAATATGAGGAGAATAAACCCCCTTTATTTACTCTATATCCCTAGATGGGTTATACTTCGTCCACTGAAAAAATATTTGTTTAGTATTTAAAACTAAATTACCCATATTCTTCTGCACATTTCTGTTCCCTCAGACAGACTGAAGATGGGTGTATTTGAATCTGAAGAAAATGCAAACAGTTAGTTCATAATCCACAACAGTGCTCGTTGAAAACATTACATAATACCATACAGGAAAACAATTCCTACGCACTGGCAAATATAAGGAAGGGACTGAAATTCCTGTTTATTTAATGATTTATGGCTATCTTCTTCCTTTGCATTTGCATGCTTATTTTTTTATTTTCCGTACACAAGGCTTGTTTCATGTCAAGGTATTGCACATACTTGTTCATAAATGTAAACTGATAAGTCAGGAAGATTTAAAATGGATATTTGTATACACGTGAAAACTTGGTGTGTAGACACATAATCGCATTTCTACTACTGAAACTTCTTTGGTGATGCATTGAGAACTTTTATGCGAAAGGAGAAGAAAGTAAGTAGGTTCAATATCTCTTTTTGAAACTGATAGAGATCTCTGTTTTTAGTGTGGATATTTTAAAACTAGGGTAAGAGCAGCATACATGAATACTATCGGCGCCTTTAGCATCAAAACGTTTATGCTCTTGCTGATGAAAATATTGCATATTGTGGCCAACTCGAGTATGTCTACAATAAATATACCCGCGACAAGGGGGAGATTGGATATCACCATTTGCAGTATGAACTGTAATAGTGCTATTAAGGAAGAAAATATTGTAAATATCTCGTATCTTATATCTTGCTTTAGAAACTACCTGGTGCTTTTTTTGCTTGAATGCTGTTCAATATCCACATTTTTCTTCCCAGCATCGCTAGAAGGTGAAAGTATGTTCAAGCATTTGGACTTCAATGTGGAGTCATGTTCATTTGCAAGCCATTTACAGTTCTGTTTAGCATTTCACTCCTTTCCTCCCACCCCCGCTGGCAAGATAAAGTGGCTGCTAATAACATGCTTCAGCTTTGTACCGTTAAGAATCGTGAACTTTATTGGCTTCATATATGTTGTAAAGTGGCATTGCATGAAATAAAACGATCTTCCGAGCAAACAAAAATGGTGCAGGATAACAAAAGTGGGTCTGTATAGGCTGCCATACTGAAGTGTGCATCGTTGTGAGCATTGCTGGCAGAAAACTCCCATCTTTGGCAGATATTTAAGAAAAAGGTTTCTCTTCCACAATACTCATGTCAGCAAGAACTTCAGCATGTGTTGATGTACACAGCTCTTTGGATTTGTATGTTTCATTTTTAAAAGCAAACGAGGACAAGAAATCAAACTCTACATATTGTAGGTACACGATGACTGTTATTTTTTTTAAATCAACACACTAACGTCAAATAAAACGACACAGATTGCTGACAGCTTGTACTAGAGATTTTTTTATCACTTACCATTCATGAGTTGAGTGAATGAGGATGTCCAGCATATATACCATAATATTTTACTAGACTTTTTGCATTCACTTCTCAGACTGCGAACGATTACACAACATTTCACCGATTAATCATTTGTTTACAGTCACAATTATCAATGAATTTGGTTTATGTCATTTCTTACCCCCACCCACTCCCCAAATAAAACCACGCACACAAAAGAGAAGAAACAAGGAGCTACATTAATCCAAACAACTGCTGATGAGGAAAGATCAGGCAACCACCTTGGATTTATACTTTTAAACATTTCTTTAGAAAACCAAAGGAACCGCAGTAGTTTACAGACTTTATTGCATTATACATGCGAATAGAACATGCACAAGAAGGATATATTGCGGCTGTACGACTACTATACCACATCTGCACCACGAGAAAATGTCTACAATGGAGAAGAAACACCTATTCCATTTTACGAAGGACAAATTCTAAATTCGAGAGAATAGTTACATTGTAATGTGCTTTTTTTCCCCAAAAGTTTTCCCCCTTAAAGTACTGAATGTCTTCAAAATGGTATGGCCCGTATAACAGCTCCCACATAAATATCACTTGATTAGAAAAAACATGAAAAAGTCACATTGTTTGGATGTTCGACAGTTCCAATAAGTTAAGACCAAATGATAATATTCAATCATAGTTACCCTGCATTACGATGAGGAAAAATAAATTACACGTGCGAGGCTTTTATATATATACTCATCATAGTAATACATATTCACTTGCAGCACTAAAAGAATGACAAAAGTCACATTCTATCAGAAAAAAATGGAAAATGAAGGTTGATTTTCCCCCACCCCCCAAAGTCTCTCCTGCATGTAGCAACTGGTGGTGCTGTGCCCATTTCTCACTGTTTCAACCCCCAGGTTTACGGTTTAAGAGAAGGTCAGATTAGCGGTCAGTTCTCGGATTCGGTTCTCCCTGCTCATCTTCTTGAGCTTCATTCTGCGGTTTTGAAACCAAATCTTGACCTGCCTGTCAGTGAGGTTTACGCTCTTACTGATCTCTAGGCGGCGCTCTCGAGTGAGATACATATTGAATAAGAACTCTTTTTCTAATTCCAGTGTTTGATGTTTAGTATAAGGACACCTCTTCTTTCTGCCACTCTTTGCTGTTAACCAATTGCTTGTTGGCGTATCAGACTTGATTTCCTCTATCAAAATCAAAGAAGAAGAAAAAAATCAAAAATACCTCAGGCTGGTAAAGTGTATCTACCCTTGGCCATGAACCCTCATCTATAGTGTCTGGCAGATATGTTAAATGTTGGTATGAAACATTGCTAGCATGAGGTGTGTACACTGGAATAGATTTTTAATTGCTGCAAGATTCAAGATAAACAGTTCAGATAAAATGACTCACTATCGTTTTGGAATTTGGGGCTCTTTAAAAAATTCTATCCAAAGTTTCCAACTACTACATAACATTTGAACAATATTTAACCTGCTATCAATGGAATGGTAACGTTTTAACAGATCTGGGCTGCACATGACAGCAGAAGTCTTATGAAATATTTATTAGAAAAATCTCTCAATTAAAAAGTATTAATGCAATATATTTCCTATCACATTCCTTTATGTCATAAGTGGAATTACACAAAGAGATATAGAAGCAGATATGGAGTATTTTTCTTAGCTAAAAAGATTTTTTTTTAAATTAACACCTTATACCACGGATTTTTTTCATTTTCCTTTTAGAATTTTTCCATTAGAAAGAAATTTGTCCCAGATAAAACTGGACTTGAATTGTTAAATATAAATATTATACATAGACTCTCTATGCACATATTGGGATAAAAATCGTCCTAGAGGTTGTAAGGCACATTTTTAGAAGAAGAAATCTCCCGTTTTTGATACTCCACCATATTCCGTTCGAAATTAAGGCTCTTGTGCACTTTTAAAAGGAAAATAAAATCCAACCATAGTCTCCTTCAGCTTTTTAATACATTTCACAATAATGTTATACTTTAAAAGACAAAACAAGGTTAGCAAAAGCACCACTTCAAAATAATCCACTTTTCATGAAACAGCTAGCGGGCTACTGTTTTCATTGTACATGTGTTTTAAACTTTATACAGCTTTGTAACACCCATTTAGCCTCTATTTTAATAGGAGCATAATTAACTTTCAATGCAATCAAACCACAGTTAGACTCAGAGAAAATAGTTGACCAAAATACTACACGAGAAAAGTTAAATTGGTCGTATTCTACAGGCTCCAGAGCTATTTTAAGGTGTTTTATTGATTTTTGATACTGGTCTTTATTGCAAAGAATAAAATAGATATTTTCCGCATGCACAGAGGGCTATCTGGCTACGATGATATGTACCTCTGAAAAAAAAAGAATTTGCAATCTTTTGTGGAGCATTTTGCCCTTCTAAAAGCTTCAGAGAGACACAGCACCTGCAGCCCGATTCCTCCTTAGCATTAAATGTTATGGCTGTAATGCTTGTTAGTATTTTACACTGTGTTTTACGATGCTGGAGTGTTCAAGTTATACCACGTTACGGTTTAAACTTTATAATACCGACCTTTACTTTCCTTCTCCTGGACTTCTGGGCTGGACACAGACCCTTCAGCCAGGCAGCTCCTTTCCTCTTGCAAAGTGGACTTTGGCTCTGGACTTTCCACTTGAACGACTTTAGCTGAGTTGTCTTGGTTGTTCGGATTTTCGTTCATTTTCTTTTCCATCTGAAGTTGAGAAGATATCTGCGGTTTGGAGCTGCCGCGAGGGTTTAACTGTAACATTACAGTTGAACTCGTTTCAGGACTATTATTGTACTCTTGGGTTTTCCCAGTGGCGTAGGTCTGGCTTAGTCTAAAATATCCTGGGACAGGAACCTCGGGATTTTCAATGGGACATGATTCAGAGACCAACCTCTGGTACGAAGGGACGTCTGACGAAATGAGTTTTGTTCTCTTATCGGAATACATGCAGCAATTGCTTTCTTCCTTAATATTGGCAGTGAAGGAACAAGTGGGGACCTGCTGTGTAACAGGTTGCTCTATTCGACAAGATCTGTTCGGGTCTGTCCAACTGTCTACTTGAGGTATATAAGGATGCACATTCATACCCATATTTTGGTGATTAACTTCTCTTTTAGCCAGAGACGGTAGGAGTCCACAGGTTTGCATTCCATAAGTTCCAATGTCTGTGCTAGGTGGCATGTACATGCTGGCGCTGTTAGAATAAAAACTGTCACTTCTACAGGCACTGATCAGAGAATCGACTAAAAAGGTGTTAGCAGCAGGAGAGCTGCTGGGAAAGGACATTTTGGGGCGGAATTTGAAGAAGAGAGATTGTGTCCTTTGGAGGCTGACATCTCTAGGAAAACATGCCCTGTGTAATTGTGGATGCCTCTGCACAACCACATGACAACCAAGCCAATGAGATTTGAAAATGGCCTTGAGCCGCTACCTCCCCGCGAGTCACGTGCTCCGCGGGCCCGGCCGGGCTGCCTCGGAAAGGTGGACAACAGCGACATCTAGAACGCCAGCGGGGAAGCGCGTCTCCCCGCCGGCGCCTGGCCAAGCAGCCCTGGCGCACTGCGCTGATTGAAAACAAGGGGCTTGATTTCTTTTAATTGCGGTTTATTGCAAGCCCGCCGAAGCCGACTCCGCCGAGCTCCTGACAGCGTGCTGCCCCTTGCTCCGGGCAGAGGGGGACGAACGTGAACCAGATCCTTGCAGACACAGAGCCCGGGACGATCACTGTCATGTACATAAAGCAGCCCCCATAGTTTGTGCTTTTTTTTTTTTTTTTTTTTGAAAATAATGAGCGGTTTCTTCTGACCGCATGGACGCTCCTCACTTCAAGACCTTGTGCAGTTTCACGCAGAAGACACTTATTGGCAAGCAATGGGCTCTCAGAGCCACCGGCCCCAAAGATCACTCCATGAGAAAGCCTCTTCCTCCCCCTTTTCCTTCATACTAATAATACTCATGAAAAAAAAAGAACCTGAAAAGTTTGAGACAACTGGATGTGCGGAACCATGTGCGAAACCCGAAGGTGTCATTTGGTTATTATGCAAAGAAAAATATGTTTGCCTTTTATGGATTTTGTAAAAGCATTGGTCCCTGACAAGCGAAAGGTACAAAAGGTTGTGGAATTTATTAATACGTATTAAGAAGAATCAGAGCGATCAATAAAATTCTCATCTACATTCTTGGGCTACTTGGTAATTTTCTTGCTTCTGAAGCTTTTTAAAGAGTTATACCCTCTGTTGCCACACACGGGAAGATATTTTATTAACAAATCAATCGAGACTTTGTAAAGGATAAGATTAATAGTTAAGATTTAGCATAATGGCGTTCGCGTTATGAATTATTGAAAATTATACTATTGATTTTTCTCCTCGCTACTAACCAAGAAGGTCAATTTTGTTTTAACACAAACCGTCCTATATTAAAAGCTATACTTTTATCATAACGTAAGGGGTAGAGTTTCCCTA